ATGTTTATTTACCACCCCTGAGGAAGGAGGTCCTTCCTAAGGAAGAGAGGGAAAATAAATACTTTTTCTTTATATATAACTACTATTTATAAATCAAAAGATTACAGGTATCATAAATTTTTAAAATATATGCTTATATATGCACAAAATATATCTGGAAGAATAAACAGTAATTATTAGTGACTGTGTTTAGAAAAGGGAGTTTTTTTTACCATTTACCTTTCTATACACTTTGATGCCATTAATCACATACAAGTGAGTAATGACATCAAAATATAAGTGATTAATAAAAACTATGAACATGAATTTAAAATATGAGAATGCTTACACCACAGAAAACAGGCACATTTGTCTCACTGGCCATCATGACTTAAGAGGCTTATTTAAAATTTCAACAGACATTCTGAAGACAATAAATATATTATGCATTATCCATTATCCAATTATTGAGTATTAGTTGATCATATTAACATAATAAAGGAAAGCAACAAAGAGTCTATGTATAAGCTCCCTAATTCCCATCTCCTTTCCCTTTCCTCTCAAGTAACCAAGTTTATTTTACTCAAAGAACATTTGTATTAGTAAAAGGACCCATTTAGGAATTCTGCAAGTCCAACCCAAGCCAACTAGAGTTGTCGATTGCTTTGTGAATGTTTTTACTGTTTCTATAAACATCTGTCTTCTCAACCAGATTTCTCCATCAGTCTAATCTACCGGGCATGAGGGGACAGGGACAGGGGGTATTCTTATTCACCTCTGAATCTGCCCCAGTACCACTGACTAGTGCTATGCATTTATAAAAACACAATTGCTCAAGTTGTATAAGGCGCAGGCTCTTCCTTTAAAAACTGGCTAAAATTTCAAACCTGAAAATGACAGTTGTATACTTAAATTTGTTCTAATCAAAATCCACTTACTTAAGCAGAGAATATGGCATAGTGGCACAGCACTCACCTAGAATATGAAAGGCTCTGGTTTCAATCCTTAGTATAAAGGAAAAAAAAATCTACCTACTGAAAGCATACTCTATGCCTGGCACTGGTATTCAGCAACTAGCTAGGCAGAAAATTAGTCAATAAAATCAAAATATAAGATGTGTAGCTGATATAGAGCAAATGCTTATTAATTAGATGAACTTTTTTTTTTTTTTTTGGCAGAACCGGGGATTGAACTCAGATCCTTGTGTTTGCCAGTCAAGCGCTTATCCTACTGAGCCATCTCCCCAGCCCCTAGATGAACTTCTTGAACTGACTGAACCCTGAAGTCTTTCATTAGTATTTTCTTCACATGGCCATGGTCTAACTTTTATATACTTTGCTACGCCAGTTCTCCAAGCCTCACTGTTTACTTATTGTGAACTTAAAAGAATGAACCAAGAAATATTAGAGTAAAAACTGTTAAGAATTTGAGGTAATAAATGTTAGCATGATTATTCCACATTGTATTTATTAAGTCATTATTTTATACCTTATATAAAGTTATAAATTGTCAATATACAATAAAACGTTTAGTCAATTCATAAAAGAAAAATTCATAAACTGTGACCGAAAAGTTATGCTCGTACCTTCCTATCCTGAAAAATGTAAGAAATAACTTCCTCTTTTTCCATTATGAGAAATACCTTTTTTTTCCCCTTCTGTAATGGGGATTGAGCCAAGAGCACTGCATGTGCTAAGCAAGCACGATACCTATGAGCTATATCTACAGTACTTTAAATTGCTAGTCTCATAAGTTTTCCTTAACTACTGATACATTTTGCCTTATTTCTCTCATTCTTGTCTTAGTTGGATCAAGTTCTACAGTCAAGTCATTGTGGCAAGTAAATCTGAGGCTCAGACCAAGCAAGGTAACTGGCCTGGTTGAACACCAAACTATCAACTTAGACTAGGAACACATGCCATCACATCCTATGCCACAAATCTGGGCTAACAACTCTCACACCAGGAGCAGAATATCCCCAGACCATCACAGCTCCAGTCTGCTGGCCTGCAACAAAGTCCAAGTTTTTCTATAGTAGGGCCCAAAACAGCAGCTGTCAAAATTGCAGTGTCAACCTTGCTGTTTCTTACACAAAAATTTTCTCGCACCTAAAAATATCATTGGAGGGCTGGGGAGATGGCTCAGTGGAATAAGCGCTTCCCTGGCAAGCGCAAGGGCCTGAGTTCAATCCCCGGTTCCGAAAAAAAAAAAAAAAAATATCATTGGACATTTAAGATGAAATTTCTATCTGGATGAAAACTACTTTTAATCAATACTGGTTCCTACCAAAGTAAAATCAAAATCTGCTCACCTAAGGATGCCCAAAAGATACTAGATTAATGGAACACTAGGTTAGTAACCACAGACTGACCCAATTTTCTTCATTATCATCAGCAAACACTTGAGGAAACTTGAGATCCCAATAAATGTATAAGATAACAAAAACTGTCACTCACAGATCCCAACACAAATGGAGTTTACAACTGAAAGTATACTGTGAAGCATTCAGAGGAATTTGGACACTTCTAGACATGAAAATACTTTGGTCTTTTTAGCTCAGGTTTCTCTAGCTACCTGCCATTAATAGCACCTATGTACATTTTTTTTTTCTTTTTTGAAGGAAGCCAAGATTTTTTTTTATTTACGAAGAGAAGAATGAATGGACACCTCAGACAAGAATTCAAAACTGTGTATGAATAAAAGAGAAGTCTTTTCATCTTGCTGTACCCACATTTCTGTAGTAGTTCCTTTTATACCACAAGGCTCCATTTGGTTCACCACCAAACAGACTCCCGCACCACATATGTTAAATGACCTGGATGATCCAACTCCTACCCCCACAGAACTGAGATACAGTACTTTATACTACACCACATGCTGTGCTTCTCACCCTTCCATTCATAAAAAAGGCAATTTTTAAAAACACAAATTATTGTAATACTGCAAACGATAGACTTTAGTAAATGGCCACAGCATTGAAAGGAAAATAGAGGGCTGGAGAGATGGCTCAGTGGTCTAAAGCACCTACTTGGAACAAGCTTGGCAAAGCACAGGGACCGCAGTTCGATCCCCCAGCACCACATGCCAGCCAGCCCCGCCCCCTGGTGGGCTGAGATGCACACACACACACACGCACACACACACACAGAGTAAATAAATGTAAAAATAAATAAACAAAAAAAGTTTAAAAAAAAACATTTAAAAAAAAAGAAAAAAAGAAAGGAAAATAGAATTTTGTATGAATAACATGCATGCCAATTCTAATATATAACTTTAAAAAGTAATTTGTTTTTTTTTTTACTTATAGCTAATGTAGGGACTCAAGTTCAAAAGGAATGACCAATAATTACTTTCCTCAGACCGTTTTTCCTCTTATTTGAAATCTCTGGGTAGTATACATCAGATTATACATGCTACTTCATGTCTCTGTCATCTTTAAAATACTATTATTTCTTATTTTTATATGAAATCACCTCTCAATATGATAAGGCAAGTTCTTCCTATCCAGTGGTACAGGTGTCCTGGGCAATTTGGGAGAATGTATTTTCTTGGAAGCACAGTGTTAACCCAGTGAGGCTTCCAGGTCCTCAGAGGGGACCAGAAATTCCCTTTGATCCTAACCTCACCTTCTGAGGTTCTCCCCACCCACCCACTAGTCACACCTAATTAACTCATAATCACTTTTTTGTTTCATAAGCATTTATCACTACTTCACTATTTAACATATGGTCTCCCACCAGAAAATAAGCTCTAGACAGGAGGGTTTTTGTGCCTTCTTGTTTCAATTCCAGTTTCCAAAATACAGGGAGGACTTGGTTCATACAAGATGTTCAATGAATTTGTACAGAATGAATTATAACTTCTTACAATATTACGAGGGTATCTTTTAAAGAGCTATAAACTGGTAAAATCTTGGGATCTTGTTATCACTGTCGAAAACAGAAAACACATCTGCTCATCAACTCGGGATAAATTAAACATGAAAAAACTGAGACAGCTAAGTGAATATTTTTGAGACATAAACATTACTAATTTTTGAGAATACTTACATGAACAAGAGTTTCCTATCCCTTATGACACTGAATTATTTATCAACGTGGTGGATGTCTGCCTGCCTTGCCTACAATCTTTCAGTCAATATTACAGCAAACTAAACTAACAGACTACTGGAAGAGCAATTCTAGTGAAGAGGGCGATGCTCTTCTAAAAGGGTTAAGGAGAAACCCTGCGGACAAAAGTCCTTCTAACATTCTTAGGAAGCACACTGCCACTTCTCTGACCCCAAAGTACTTGGGCAATATCCGTTTAATGACGATGCCGAAGGAGGCAGTGAGCGGTCAAGCTACCGTAGAATTAAGTTCATTTTAAAGGGGTATGTACAGAGAAAAGATAGGGAAAGTGGTGGATTTGAGACTGAGGAAGGGAAAATCTCATTTCAAATACCATTCTTTCCTATCTTCCCTAACCTCAGCCCTCATGTCCCCGACCCTACTAAAGATAGCTTTCTTTTCTTTGTAAACAAAAGTGGTTTTTGGTGTCCCCTTTTTACATCACAGACACCAGCCAGGGCTGCACTTATCAACATGGTGGAAGTCAGGGCGATGCCTTGAGAATCGTACACCGGCCTGGGCCGGGAGGGGGTTGCGGAGGGCGCTAACCAAGTTTCTTCAGCGGTAAACCGTCAAGAAGTTACTGCCCACGGAGGACCATTCCCCAAAACAACTGGTCTCGCCGGAGCTGAGTGCGGCTCCGGACGCAGCGGATGTCGCGCTGGGTTCTTCCCGGCACTCGCCAAGCGCACGGCAACAGCACAGACGTGACAACCTCCCTCGGCGGTAGAGATGGTGACCGAGGATGGTGTCCGAAGATGAGTAACTCCAGAGACTCTCCCCGCGCGGCTCCGCAGCCCCCAACCCCGGGGCTGGAGGAAGGGACCTGGCCGAGGAGGAGGGCAGAGCCGCGGCCGGCGGGGTCCCGGGAGCGGGTGGGGGTTCGCGCCGGAAGCGGGGAGCCGTACTCACCCCGAGCGGGCGGCGGGCGGTCGCGGCCAGCCGGCTCCAGGCGGCGGCGAAGTCGGGCGGCGAGGCGCGCGGGCTCCGGCAGACGAGGGCGACCAGGGTCCCCAGCAGGAGGGCGGCCGCGGCACAGCTCAGGTACAAGCCGAACCGCAGCGCAACGGTGCCTGGCCCCGCGCCCCCCGCCGCAGCCCAGGAGCCAGGCCCCAGGAAGGAGAGGACCACCGCGGCGAGCGCGGCCACAGCCACCGGCGTCTGCCAGTTCCAGCCGCCCGCGGAGCCCGGGGCAGGGCTGAGGCCGGCGCCGCGGCTGTCGGTGGCATCGGGGTGCATGCTGCTGCCTGGGCCGCCAAGGACAGGCTCATCTCCTGCCGCGCCGACCCCCGAAGCTGCCCTGGACGGTGGCCTCGGCGCCGCGCCTCCG